GTACAGCCAATGAAATCGATCTGTATGTGCTTGCATGATCAAAGTAAATACTTGAATAATTCGCTTTACTTGTCGTTGCAAGTCTTGAATACACCTAAACAGAGTTATAACGCTTTTTACTCTCACCGAGGAAACGTAAAAATAGCAAATCGAAGCTACAAACTGACATCGTTATGATTTAATCTGAATCCTTCAGCATTTTGACCCCAGGATGGATACATAGCTACCAAATCTTCGAACCTTCTTTTTCTGCTATTGGAAATCAAAATTATTGCAACGTATAGTTCCAGATTGTTTGCCAAAAGATATTCGATTTGAATTGAGATTTATTTCATTTTCTCTGTAATGTTTAATTTAATTCTTTATACTTCAGACTTGGATGCCCAATTGAAATAATAGCATTATGAATTAAATCAACGCAGATCTAATAGCATTCAATCATGATATTTCTGCACTTGTTTTGTATTTCGAAAATAGGCTCAAATTTGACTTTTTCTTATACTGTAACACCCACAAGGTCTAGTATCTCTGTTATAAAAGGGGAAACTATCTGTGACATAATCAGCACAATTCCCTCCTTGACTTAAATGACATCATCCAATATATGCCATGAAATGATGAGCACGTTAAACACGAGTTCGAATACTGACCGTCCTTCAAATGACACTGAGCTGAAATTATTGCGACCCTGGGTTTTAAAATATGTAAAGAAATAAATTAAACCAATAATTTAAATAAAATAAAGTTACTTATTTCTCTTCAATACACGGTGAACTGCTAAGAGACAGCATAGTGTGAATTAAATCCCAGTTAATCATAACCTACGTTCAAAAGTTTTATATAAAAACGGAATGTTCGGAAACAATTTAAATAGTCTTGAACGTTTTGATATGTCACGATGATGCAATCCAAAATATTTTTTAATAAATTCACAATAATTCCAAAATATTGTGCTAATTCAAAGTCAATGGAAACTTAGTAATTTCAGTGAATAATTTGAATAAATAATTCCTCGAATTATATCTGAACGCAGCTATAAACTCTGATAACTAATGGGTTCTAGAGACTGATCTGAATTAGTAATTAATTAATTCTTAAATCACCTGTTTATTTACATTTTCGCTTGACTTAGATGTTCATCATTCCAATGCAGAAATATAATCAAAGTGTAACCAAGCCTTTCCTGGAACGTTCTGAATTGAAAAGCTACGTAAAGATGTTTTTATAATGTACGAAACTAAATCAAGTCAATTTGAAGCAAACATATCATAAAAAAATATTTAAAGACTAGATACAAAATAATGACGAGTTCTCACCATGGCAGTAATAAAAATAAATGAAATGATTATATTCCGGAACACCGTCTATCATTTCATTATCAGTCCTTTGTGGTTGTAAGGTGTGATTGCTGACAAATAGCGATGGTCACAAAAAAGGGTGATGGACCTGCTTTTGGAATGTATTGCCAACTCCAATTTATATCTGGTAAACATAAATTCTTTCGACCCTGCTGTCCTTAGTCATATCAAGAACTTTGAAAATAACATTACGTGCTATGCTATTTGGACCATTTGGACCCAACTTCAGCTTGCTGGATTTTGAAAGTGAATTGCCATAGCAATTCCTATGGAAAAAAATTCGAAATCATTGAATATCATTATGGAATATGATAACAACCTAAAATCGTTTCCCTTAGTGGTGTGTCTACGACATTTACATTTGCAAACTCTTGAAGAGATGTTATTGCAATTTTTAACCAAAGCTGAACATTTCATTAAAGAGCAATATTCAAGCGAAAAGTAACCAATGAATGACCACCAATTTAAATTTTTTTCCGTAGTTGTGCTTGTTTTGGTGAATCGACTGTCTGAAAATAATTATTTGCTATTGAATATAAAATATCTAAGTCTCATCCAAATTAAATAAAGAAACTAGCTATCATCCAATTGAAATAATAACAATATGAACACATCAACAAAATGGTAAATATGATTTACTCAAATATGTATTATTACTAGTTGTGTGTTTGTGTGTGTGTGTGTGTGTGTGTGTGTGTGAGAGAGAGAGAGGGAGAGAGAGAGAAAGAGAGAGAGAGCTTGGATTAGTTGTATCGATCAACATCAACTCAATCCCTTCAGCAGTATAGTATTATCCATTCAGAATTGTATTATTTTCATCTGTACCATTAACTAACGACGCACTGGTGCATGAAAAATGAATCCATCCCGTTATTTTCAGGAATGATAAAAACCAGATGGGCCACAATTCCCTTTGTTTAACAATGAAAGTTGCGACTGAAAATACCAGAATCACAAAACACTTGACCAGGTAAACATCCGTTACGATATTATCAAAAGCAGGAGTCCGATCAACAAAACTTATGCAGGTCACAGGGCACAAAAAAGATGTTTTGTAGCACTGTGTGCAACTTTGCGTACATGGGCAGAAGTCATACTGAACAATCCTGACGCTCACTTCTGATTCAAATGTACCCAACACAAGTACTGCTACATAGAACAAGAACAAAACCGACCACAAATATTAACATCTATTTTCGCAATCGCATCTATTAATAATTGTCTTCATTTGTTTTCATTAATTGGCTGCGTCATTTTCTGAAGGCATTTAATATTTGTGTATCATAATTATGTATTTTACCTTAATGGTGTTCCTTCCTCAATAATAGATGTTGTTTCGTTATCACTTGACGACGATTCATCAAGTATCATCTATATGAATGTTTAAATATTGTCATTGCCATTACATAATATAACGATTAACAAGACGAATATCTGAAATGTTCAGAAAATTTGTTCTAACTTTTTGCTTTGAACTCTTCAATAAATTTAACACCGATAGATAGACAAAATAGCATTACGTGAAACGATCTGCAGCTATAAGTTCAGCACATCATGCATGTGTGTATGTGTGTGTATGTGTGTGTGATATAACATATGTAAATAATATTTACCAAAAACTATTGGGGAAGAGAATAATTTTGCTATTGAACTAACTGTAAACCCCAGGTGCTCTTAGGGTAGTACACTGATATCAAGCTCAACTTATATATATATATATATATATATATATATATATATATATATATATATATATATATATATATATATATATATATATATATATATAAAAAATTCTCATATCCTACAGTCTTGATGTGGTTTCATTGATTTATAAATGGTCCTAAGTCCATGGAAGATGACCCATTTCTAAAGGACTATTATACGCGATTGGTGTGCAGGAAGTGGGACTATTATACGCGATTGGTGTGCAGGAAGTGGGACTATTATACGCGATTGGTGTGCAGGAAGTGGCTGCTGTGAAAGAATCCATTGATAAAGATGTTCGGAAAATATTTTGGCCATCACATGCATTAATTTGCCATTTGTGTCTAGCATGGTGAAGAATTATTTGATTCTGAAAATGGTCTCCCATTTGAATATTGCTACTCAAAAACAGACTCCGGCTAAAATCGTCAAACTCTACTCGCTAAATATAAAAATGAATGGCAAAAGATATTCGAAAGAAATTGTAATGGTTGATGAAAAATTAATTTAATCTTTAATATGACAAGAAAATATAGTTGTTTGGACCTGAGAAACCGTTCAGAGACAACAAGTAGCTAGTTCGAATTATGTGGTTCGATGGACTCGTATGTTTCACGTCTGTAAATTGGAAGCATTACTTCCAGTTTCTTGTTTTAATCAACCTGCTGTGATGACACTTCAAAATTGTCAACTACAAGATAAGCAATTTACTCAGTAGTTGCCACTAACAAATTTATATCTCCCAGGCAAATAGTTGCTCAGCAGTTACTGTTATCGTAAATCAACATATTCCTAGTAATCGGTATGGAAAGGTACCTAAGAGAAAACTATGTACTTGATTAAAGCACTGTTTATGAAAGAATCAAAATGTAAGGAAAAAATCGAAATTACAAATCTGACCTTGTAATTCGCAAAGCTATCATTCAGTCCATGAAGACATTATTTACTTTTGCGAATGATTAGGATTAATGTTTACATTGATAAATAACGAACATGCATATGCAGAAAAATCCCAACGTGTGACAATATAGATGTCGATACCAAATATTTTCTTGGAATGGTCAAAAGGTCATCTGGCCTTTTGTTGGTTCACTAAGATTTCATGTTTATTTAAGACGGGATGTCTACTGCTAGGTTATATGGCTCATTTACCATTAAGTTGGCTGTAATGAATATGTGTTTTATTTATCTACATGTGACTTGGTGAAGTCAACATTTTGAGTTATATAGGGGTTTAATTTTAGCAAAGTACGGTTTTCTAACAATGAGAGTAAGACCCGGTCGACTTTTGATCTGAAAGCCAAATGAATTTATTATTCAGGATGCTAATAATATTGGTCCCATTTTGTTAAATGTAGGAACATATCTTTCTATTTAATCATTTTATTTGACCAAAATTATTTACCATTTACACATACATTAAACGATGACTTTCGTCAATATGATACGATTTTTCTCTATGTCTGAAACGATATCTGATACGCATGTAGAGGTTTTTGGCGTGAAACGAGTATTACAATGGATTTATTTCATCGAGTTGTAGAAAATGCTTGAGTTTTTTAACCAAGAAACCACGAGTGACGATACTTCCATTTTAACCCAAAAGATGAAATATCTCCGTCACGCGCTCGGAAAAATAAATTTCCTTTGTACTGTTGTCTGCTCTAACGTATTGGTCTGCCATGTGTATAACATATATTGAGGTAGCAGATTTCCCTCGCAATAATGTCAGCGTTTTACCGTTTATATTCTTCGTTTTTTTATATTGGCTCAAAACATTTAAAAGTAAAGCTTAAACATAAACATGATGCAAAGCAAGTAGATGCGCACTTTGGGATTCGAGCTTGATTTCATCTGCATGCGAAGCGTCATATTTACCATTAAACCATCCACCATAAGCTAAAAGCTCATAATGTGTTTTATGCATGTTGACGGGACCACTCCGGTGGCATAGTGGTTACAGCGTCAGCCTCAGATGCGGAAGGTCGCGGGTTCGAACCCCTGCTGAGTTATATCAAAGACTTATAAAAATGGTACTAACAGTGCCTCGCTTGGCGCTCAGCATTAAGAGATTAGTAACTGGTTGGCCTGGTGTCAGGATAATGTGACTTGGTGGGACATCATGCTACATGTCTGGGGTATGATGACATGCCTGCTACACTGCCACATCATAACGATAGGACTAGAAAATTGATAAAGCTACGTTAAAATCCAAACCGCACACATATACACAGAGACGCAAACACACATACAAACATTCCTGTTGACGGAGCATTCTGAAATTATTCCTGGTATTGCACTCCAGTTAATTATCAAAATTATTTCTCTTGGCATAATGTAATGAAAATACGCAAATATTTGACAAGAAGATTTTATCTGCTGCAGAATTGAAGCATTATTCATATCATTGGTTAGCTAACCTTTATGGGTTTGTACTGTGTACAAGAGATCGGCCAATAATTTCAGGCAAGAATTTGCGCATGCGCATCCCATTAAGAAGGCGTTATTGCTAATTAAGCATGCATACCAATTCGTAATGGAAAACATTATGTAGTACCAATGGCTTTTGAACTGATGCCAAACTATTGTTATATAATGAAACCATTCGGTATGCAAGACAGTGCCGAAATCGTAGAGAAGTGTAAATAAATTCTGAATAGTTGGTAAGTGTTTGACGTTCTACGCTAGGAAAGCATCCAAAGCAATAAACTGAGGAGAGGAGGAGGGGGAGGGATTTGAAGATCCTGATCAGATGATATTAGGTCTGAAGCAATATAGGTCACACCCTCGTTTCAGTGTAGCATCGAGTTCAGAAGCAAAAGCGCTGAAAATGATTAAATAATACAAAACGGCTTTATTGTGGACATATAGGTGTTTTGTTTAATTTAATGAAAAAATAAAAAGTATATCAGCACTACCGTTTCTTTAGGAGTGATGAATGTAACATACAATACAAGATATTCTTCGTCCTACCCTAAATGTACAATGTAGCTCTCCATTTTTGAGTAACGTTTCTAGGTATGTGTTGTGTCTGTGTGTGTCTGCATGTGTGTGATTTGGATTTGTAACGTAACTTTAACAATATTTCAGGCAGACATAAAGCATGGTGTTCAACTTAGTCACAATATTCTGCCAACCAATCCTAAGACTACCATCTTAATGCTGAGCGCCTAATGATGCAACTGTTAGTACCTTGATTCGGCTGAGGATAAAACCCGATACCTTTCTCATCATCCGAAGCGTCATAATTGCAGTTAATGTATAATTATTGGCACTACATTATGATAATGAGTTTATAATTAATCGTTAACTTGCCATGGCTGTGAAGGTGTGCTTTGTTGAAAGCCAAATGCCACAAGTAGTTTAATTGGTGTCTATGCACTGAAATGACTACATCGCGGAGCATTAATTGAAAAGAAGCAATCGATGTATTTTAAAGAAAAAAAAGACACTACATATAATAGTAAACTGCTGACAAATACAACGGAATATTACAAGCACATTGCATACAAAAGAATGTGAGAAATATATATTTTTGAGACCGCTTATCATTGTTGGTGTCTAAGTTGTTGTTCCATTTCTATAGTTTAATGTGTAACCTTATAGAACCAGACTGTTTTTGTCTTAATTGTTGTTCCTTTTCCTCCTGTTGGATGCTTTCTTTTACGTGCCAGAAACAAGACCTCTTTAACGGTTTCTTCTTCTGGCAAAATAGGATAGCTGATGATAAATACACACTTAGAAACAACAAAGTTGTGCTGAAAATAATACGACTGAGCTATTTATGTCTAATATTTGGCCAGACTCATCAGCAAGGAAAATAAATTCTAACTTCATTGCAAGTGAATTTAATGATCCGCTTCTCCGGTTGTTCCTCATTTATCTTGGTCATTCTTAAATTAAAATTATTCACGAAACGAACTGACGCACTTGACATCATTCAAACAATTATCCAAAACATCGATGCCTATATATGAAACAAACACACACACACACTCATATATATATATATATATATATATATATATATATATATATATATATATATATATATATATATATATATATATATATATATATATATATATATTTATATATATATATATATATATATATATATATATATATATATATATATATATATATATATATATATATATATATATATATATATATATATATATATATATATTAAAGTCATAGGAGATATAATGGAGGGCATACACATGTGGCAGAGGAAAACACTCAGTTTAAATATGTCTTGACGTAATAAATCCGCTTATGACATTAGAAACTTTTTGTGTTTTCACGAATTCTAACTGCCATATCAACACTTTAAAACCTGGAATCGACGAAAATTATGTTATTATAGTAAATAAACGTCGACAGAAAATTAAATGATGAATCTTCCCAAACCTCATTGGACTTCTTTAATGTTAGCGTTATAACATTTTTGTAAGGTTTAGATTTTGTTAAGGTGTGGGAAAATACGTTCGAGCAAAGTTGCTAAAACATTGCACTTGAACATTGTTATTTGCTCACTGGCCTAAAAAAAAATCTCGAAACTGAAAAGTGGCAATAATATGCATTTATCATTAAAGTTTATAAAGCAAATACTGTCATTTTTAAAAAGATAATATATTAAATGTTGACAACGTTAAACCTGCGTTGTGCTTAACATTACTTCATGAAGGATAACAAACATTAATTCGTGTTTTTTTGTTATTATCTTTTTGTTATTTTGCAAAGAAATAAAATTAAAGTGTCTGAAAGACTTAATATAGCAACTGTTATTATGGCAAACTTGAAGTACGTTTAATGCTCTATCAATTTTTTTTACAAATCTATGAACAGAATCTTATACTAGCTGTTCCTGTAACGGCAGAACCAGAATCAGTGGTTTCGATATATGATTACTTGCGGCTCTTAACCGTCACGGTACGAATATTATTTAACTAATGTATAATTCGTATGTTTAGGTGCAGAAAGTAAAATTGCTATTGTGAGGCAGAGATTCTTTTATTGCCGTTTGTTCTATCATATTTACCAACTCTTGTCTTGTAAATGTAAACACCTTGCTATATGCGAGACATTTTCAAGCAATAAAATCCATGTCCATCGGCCAAAGCGTTCAGTCGAGACATACTATGATATAAATTTTTGCTGTATGTCTTTGAAATGTATATAACGTTTGTTAAATAAATTAATTATATTAACTCATCTTGCCTATTTTTAAAAAGAATATAACACAGTACGGAGATAGATTTCCCTAGTAAACTTTCCAACATCAAACGTATAAGTTTTGACGTTTTTCGTAAATGTTTAAGATATAAAAAATAAAATACACTTTAAAAGTTAATTAAATGCTGATAATTACAGTCTTATATTAGGTATTTTACAGCTTTTGGTAATTACTCCAATACTTGCATTACAACAGGGATGGTAATGTACTAGACTGAGTAATTAACACGGCATTTGTAAATGACGTCATAAACCATGATGACTATTCGCCAAGAAACAACTAACAAAACCTTGGCATGAAACGAGTGGGTGTTGAGGTGATACGATGCTTTGGAAAAAAAATCGTACATAACATTTTGCAACCCCTACCTTTCTTTACTGTTTAATTTCTTCAATGCTCTCTCTCTCTCTCTCTCTCTCTCTCTCTCTCTCTCTCTCTCTCTCTCTCTCTCTCTCTCTCTCTCTCTCTCTCTCTCTCTCTCTCTCTCTCTCTCTCTCTCTCTCTCTCTCTCTCTCTCTCTCTCTCTCTCTCTCTCTCTCTCTCTCTCTCTCTCTCTCTCTCTCTCTCTCTCTCTTCTTCAAAAGGACGTGTGTGTGCCTCCCTAAAATATTGAATCAAATTAATAATTATATTAATACTTTATTACATTTCTTACCGTCCACATGAAATACAATGGTGGCAGATAGCATGCATGATGAATTGTATTTGGTTACGTGACAAAGGCTCGTACTCAGTAACAAAGAAAAGAGTGAAACCAAACAAGCTTTGTAAATTTTAACAAAACAATTTATTTTGCTAGACAACAATGTAAAAATTGGTAAATAGGACTTAAAGTTTGTGAATATTGTCCAAAACTGATTATATGAATAAAATATTAAGTCCTATCACTAAATAGTTTTATAGGAATCAGGTTCGAGTCCCGACAACGTTCCAATATGGTGGGAAATGACGTCAGATGTAGTCCAATGTATGAATAACAATAATTGCTCACTTGAATCACAGTATTTGTTTCCGAATAATTCCATATATAATATCGTTGAAAATCTTTCAGACTTTTTTATAAGAAAGTCAACCTGTTGAGTGTCTAGGAGAATAAATTATTGAATCCAAAAAATTAGACGATGAATAAAATATTCTGGCAACATATCGAAATCAATACATACACCTTGTACTTTCAAGGTTTTGAAATACTCTGCCCAAACTCATATTTGGAATGCGTATTTAAACTCAAAACATCACTTCAAATCTTGCGAGATTGGTCATATGATCACTTACTACACTAGTTTTGTCATGTCGTCCAATCATAAAAAGGTTGTTTACAAACATTGATCACGGGAAGAAAGTATTTCCGTGATGCTGATAAAATATTTTGACTTCCTGTTGATCTGTCACCAAGGTAAAACAGACTCAATGATAATTCGCACGTATTACTATTTCGTCTTAAGTAAAGAGCTTTGTGACAAAAATATATATCACTACTAAAAAAGAATCCAGAATCCGAGAAAAATATTCATTGCAATTAAATACAATAATACAAAAATGAAAATAAAAATAATTTTAAACCTTACACACAAGCAATTTAACCACATATACGTAACAATTTTTTGTACCGTGATGTATTCGTTTCCAATCCACCTATTTGTCACTAAACCAGCAAACGGAAATGATTAGCTAAACTGGCTACTATGGGGGCAGCGGCCAGTTTTTATGTACAAATTTAATGTCGCAATCAGTGAAATAGTACAAAAAGATCATAAAAAAATCAAATAC